ATTTTGGTACTTTTCCAGGAATTTTTCAATCAGTACACCTTGAACTATCTCTTTCTTTTGTCTGTTACTGTAATCGTCACATTTCTCTTTCCATAGGGCTGGTAAACTTTTGTGAACCTCCATACACTCCAATTGAAATGCCCTGTCTTCTTTTTTGTCAGGCACCCTAGACATGATGACGGTACGAAATCAGGAAGAAAGTGATTATTGGACAATTTAATTGACGGTCGCCACACACGGTCAATTAAAATGTGCAAGCAAGTAGACTTGCGCAATGAAATATCAAACTGATTTTGATTTACCCAATACAATTGCGCCAGTTGTCAATATCGCCCATACACGGTCAATTTAATTGTCAATTCCGAGTATTGACAATTAAATTGCATAATATAATTGATCGTGTATGGGCCGCTTTAGTGAAGTAATTTAATCCTCTCACTGTCATGTCTCGCTACTGTCCTCGCTCACCTGTCCTCTTTCTGCTCTTGAAAGCGGCCAAATTGGATCCACCAGTGTAACTTGAAAAAGTGATCTCTGGACGTGCCATACAGAAGGTTTACAAACTGAAGCAATTATTTTTATTTGATTCTGAATTCTTCATTGTCTTCACCTTGCACACAAACAGGCACTAAGTAGACCGCTTATTGCCGTTGTCTGTCGGAGATCTTCTATTGAACCGTGAGCATTTACCTCCTAGTTGCAGGCCTATATACTGTTCTATGTCTCTGTTGAATTTGTCATTCTAGCAGGAAGGGCTTTACGGTTGTCTCTGTGGCGAAGGACTGGAGGGCCGTGGAGTCCTCGATTCGGAATTTGATACACTCGTGCTGGCTGGGTTATGGCGTCTCATAATAATATACCAACGTCTGCGATGTAATGGTTAATTAAGCTTTTCGACGTCGTACGTAGAGCACGGGAGTTCGAATCCCTGCTGGTTACATTATCTATTCCTTTTGGTATCTCGGTCTGAGAGCTATATCCCCACAGCATTGGTAGGCCCTAACAGCCCAGGTCGAAATAGCCCTCCCCTTAAATCAGTCCTTATCAACCTTTTTATAGCGAGCGCCCACTTCTGCCACCATTAAGAGGCTCAAATTCTCGTACCGCCCAGCCACATGTACATATTTCCAGACGGAACAAAAAAACCCACTTTTCACTACTTGGGTGACCCCCATTGCTCAGCAAAATTACCTAATCACCCACTAGTGGGCGATACCATCCAGGTTGGCAATCATTGTCTTTAGCGATCTAAATAAAGTCGATAGACGGATAAACATTTTTTTTCAATAAAAAAGAAGTACTAGATGTCCTGTAGTACTGAAACTTCCCTAACGAGGTGGCAAATGCACCTTCATGTGAACCATGCGTTTTACTTGGACGACCGTCGCCTCTGCCTCTTTTCTTTATTTGCGGCTTTTGTTTAATATTATGGTGGGGTTTCAAGGGGCTCAATCGGGCTAGTTTTATCTTTGCAATCATTAAAGCATAATCTAAAAACTGATCAAAATCCTTGAAATTCTTCATATGCGTGTCTTATCCTACACTTGTACATGATAGGGTGTTTAACATCCATGTTTCGTGTTTCTTGTCTATTAGACATCGAAAAAGATTAATATGAGAATGTTATCAGTTTCAACAAAAAGCAGGGTCTGTGAACTGGGGACATTTAGAAGTACCCCCCCCCCCATCCCCCCCACACACGCGCGCACACAAACACACTCTCTCTCTCTCTTTCTCTCTCTCTCTCCCTCCCTCCCTCTCTCTCTCTCTGTCTGTCTCTCTCTCTGTCTGTCTCTCTCTCTCTCTGTCTCTCTCTCTCTCTCTCTCTCTCTCTCTCTCTCTCTCGCTCCCTCTCCCTCTCCCTCTCTCTCTTTCTATCTCACCCCCACTACACACACACCTGGCTCTAGCTGTGTCCCTAATAGCCTTAATGTGATTACTAGCACGTGCTGGTTGTCAGCTTCATACAAAAGTGAGGAGGGAACAGAACAACGAAGTACTTTCTGTGGCAAAAAATAACGTAGAGTCGGGCAAGGTAAAAACAAAAACGAGTTGTTACTTCTAAAGATGTGAGCGGTGATATCAACGTGTTACGATTACACCTTTACATAAGCCAAGAGGCTTTTGACTAGTTCTTAAGATTGTTAATTGTTTTTGTTAAGGTAAAAGAGAATCACACATAAATGAGGGGGTTCTCGTGGCCTAGAGGTTAAGGTGTTCGACTCTCATTCAAAGATCCCGGGTTCGATTCCGGGTAGCGACAAAAAATGTTCTTCTCTAAAATTGTCTCCTTTCACCTCCTTTCCTGCTCTCTTGCAATGTTCTGTCGTCTATTTTCGTCTCCACTTTCTTCTTTTGCCCCCTCCTCTGGGCTCCTGACACTTTCTGCAGCCTTTCTATTCTTACTCCTTGGCTTCTTCTTACTGCTCTCTTTCTGCCACACCCCTGACCTTCTGGTAGGAAAGATCTACACTTTGCCTTCTCGGACAAGGTCGAAAAATCTTCTGAGGTCCAGTGTGTAAGTTGCGCACGTTAAAGATCCCTTGATGGTCTAAAATCGATAAGAGTAGGCTTCGGCCGCCACCCGGGCAAAACTGAAAATTCCCTACCAACTGAAAATATCTAGTGTGTCCTGCGCGCTCATATGACCGTATGCAGTTGCGAGCGCCGTAAAAGACTTACCAAAAAGAGTCCCCCCACCCCACCCCCTCCACATAAATGAGGAATGTCACTGAGAGCTGGGAAATTTCTAAAGTTACAACCACTTAACAACAAATAGAAAAACAACAGTCAGGTAATTTTGTTGACTGACTCATCAATTGCCCCTTGAAACCATCCTCTCCTGATGCATGTACTAAATATCACGGAAGGAGATGATTATAGAAATTGGTCTTTCAAAACGAATTACTTTTGTTATGTGTTTTCAGATTTAGATTTAAGCCGTGTATACACCCAAAAAATACACCTAAAGTCTGAGCATGAACTGGTCGAACTTGAGATTCCTTACGACTTTGGCAGTTGTGTAGATCCAATGATGATACATAACAAGAGGGTCCATCCAGCCAAAAATGTGTCCTCTCAGATGGCGCTGCACTCTTTGTTTTAATGCTTTCTTTCGTTTCTCCAGAAGAAGAATAGGAATAGCACCTCCTTGCGTGCGCAGATCGACTGCTGTTCATCATCTGTACGGGTTCGTTCTGTGCGGAGTTTTAGTTTTTTAAATTTAGATTACCTCTCGCCTCTTATTCTAAAGTCAAATTAAACCAAGAAAACAGTCGCCTCTTCCGAGATTTATTTGTCAGCGTGACAGTTTTAAAAAAGAGTTCTTCCGAAATTTGAATTCTTATTTATTAAAAACTTGTTAGCCTCACTCTGATTTTTTCACACACGTAGGGTAACTCTGTTCGCAAAGGGTGCACATTTGCGAAGAGGGCGCCACCGAATTTTGAGGACACTTTTTTTAATTGATTGGCTCAAAGAGAGGAGTGGACCACCTTGTTATGTATCATCATTGGTGGGTAGATCCTTCTAAATAATATGTCAAAATCCATTCTGCTCTAGTGCCTACCCGTGCGTTACTCAAAAACCATTTTCAATTTCAACGATGTTTCTAATTTGACTCAGGGTAATTGCACCAATATCTGTCCTCCAACACTGACAAGCAAGCGTTCTCTTCTGCCCGCCGGCTAACCCAAGTTTTTTTGTCTCGTCAACATCTGTTGTTTCTTTGTTTGTTTCTTTGTTCGTTTGTTTTTATGGGGTTTCACCCCCACCCCCACCCCCACCCCCACCACCCACCCCCACCCCACGGATGTTGATACTGACTGAAATGTCCTTTGCCATACCCAAAGGGGGGACATTAACAGGTTCTTATGTTCAGTAGAATTGTAAACGGGCTGATTCATCAATGCCATGCTTATAACTGTTCCTGAACTGCTTGTGGGGAACTGCAGCTTTTTCTTTTCTAATCCTAACTATCGTCATTTTTTTCTCTACTTCTTTTGTATGTTTCTTACTCTCTTGTGATCTGCTATTTCCGGAGTGCCTTGATAGTCGAAGCAGACATTGTGCAGTTGAAGCTAGAGAGGTGAGCACTGTAAGCCTGATTCCCTGTAAGGACTTCTTCTCTGTTGACATCCACCCCTTGGCGCTCATATGATCTTATGCAATTGCGAGCGCCGCAAAAACTCTACTAAATTAAAAAGCACAAAGCTTTTATGGGTTTGTTTGTTTTTTAAACGTATGTTTGAACGCTCCAATTGACACAAACAAGATCGTCAGGAGGCAGGATTCGATTCAAACAGGGCTGAGAGCTATAAAGCATCCCAGTAGAAAGAGCGAGTTCTAGAATAAAATTCTCAACACGCGAGAATCGAACTGTACACGAGTGCACAGTGGAAGAATACCAAGTTTGCCGTGGCTTTAACCGTTTAATAACGTTCTGGTTGGAAACATTTATTAAGATGTATATGTAAGATATAATGGAGATACTATAAAAAGCTGTATTCTTCGAAATTATTTCATTTACAACCTAGTGCTAAGGTGTGGTCAAATTTGACCAAAAATCAATTGAAGGGGTCTGATGGTATCTAACTCTCTTTGTGGTCGTTTTGAAAAGAAGACAATGATTTTTTAAAACAAGTACAAAAAGAAACAACAACAACAACAACAACAACAACAACAACAACAACAACAACAACAACAACAACAACAACAACAACAACAACAACAACAACAACAAAACAGCTGGACTCAAGCATGATTATACTACTGAGGTTAGTTTTTGTAAAGGCTAACTCTGATTTAAAGTTAAAGCCATTCAGTCATTTCATATAAATTCTATGTTTTGTAGTCTCCCCTGGCGAGCCCGATCGTACTAAGAACTATTCTTTCGAAATTAAATTTGACTTGCACCCTTTATTTTCTTATCCCTCCAATTGTTCATAGGATCGGTAAAAATAGGCTTGAAAAACAAGGTACCGCATGATGACGGGACATACCGACCTTTTAAGTGATCTTTTTATATTATATATCATATTTATTGGTTGTTTTCGAACATCTTATTGTTCTGTTCATTTTTTTTATCAGTATTCTCTTTTGGCACTTCAGCGTGGCATCAGGTTGTCATACTCTCTAAAACAGGCAGATGACGGGGAAGTTATTGTTGACACCTGAGGAACAAAAAGAGAAAATGCAATTGGGTTGTGTGTTTCAACGACAATCATCCTGCAAAATTGTTTTACTTGCATTCTCTTACGACAAATATTAATGATAACGACTGCTGGAAATGCATGTGACGTTCTGCTTCTGTTGCAACGGCTGCAGTGGCGAATCGTCTATATAATCGAATAATCACTGCTTCCCTTCCTAATTTTGAAACATTGTCGCTGTCAAATTCACCCATAGACTTAAACCTCATAAATTAAATGTAAAAAGACGTTCATAATCACCAATGAACAGTATGCCTAACATTCAAAAAGGTTTCACTGCCACAGAAATAGCCTGCTCACCCCTCTTGGGCCACTCCATAAGCAGTCACAAGCTTTGATTAAGTAAGTTTAAAGTGAGGCTGGAAGAGTCTACCAATAGAGTTGAAGGGAACATGTGCATAGCAGTCAAAACTGTTTCATTGGGACAAATACCCTGTTCACCCCTTTGGGGCCACAGTTATAAGCAGTCGCAAACTCTAATTATGTAAGCTAACTATTACACTGGTCGAGTCTACCTCACAAACAAATGTGAGGGGAACTAACTCCTAATAATCTCTTGACTGCTGCAAGGGCTTGGGTTTTTTTCCCTCGACTTTTTATCGTCCTATAATCAGATCGTGACCTCGATTATGACACCGCCTCCTGGGCGCGAAAGGCTAGACAAAAACAGCCAAATGTGAAATTTAACTAAATATATAATTGTCATGTTCTATCAAAGAGTTAGCCTCACTGGTAGATCTATAACATATAGATCTAATACTGACATCTCTGCTTCTTTGCTTTGTGTTTGTGTATTCACATCTAAAGTTTAATTTAATTTTAGTCGGAATTGATATTTAATAAGATACTTTCCCGATTATTTTGGCGGTTGAACATACAATATGAATTCCGGATTTGTTTTCATTCACAATTCAGAGTCGCCGCCTCGAGTAAGATTCTTGTGTGATATCTCCAGGCCATATCTGGTCCTGTTTCACTTTGATTACCCTGTCAAACAAGTCAGCCTTCGCCCCTGAACGGCTGTTGCTGCTACAACTACTACTGAGGTCATCATCATCATCATCACCATCATCATCATCATCATCATCATCATCATCATCATCATCATCATCATCATCATCATCATCATCATCATCATCATCTTCATCCTCATCAACCAACATCAACAACATTGAAATGAGATAATTTGTTATTTTCCATGCAGGATATATTTCGTGGCTTTATGGAAAAGGTAGAAATACGTGTAGATATACATAAAATTCAAATGGTATATTACTTACATAATAGACTTCCAATATGAGGAGAAAATAAAAGCTGGCAATACAGCTGAACAGAAACAACAGGAAATAAGCAGCAACAACAACAACAATAACAATAACAATAACAGCAGCGGCAACAACAACAACACCAACAACGCCAACAACAATTACTACAACAATATCATCATTAACATCATCATCATCATCATCAACAACAACAACAACAACAACAACAACAACAACAACAACAACAACAACAACAACAACAACAACAACAACAGCATATTGCTGCAGTCGCTGCACTCGAGTCTGGCAAAAGGGCCCCTGTCGGGGTGATTGGTGGACAGGAAGTGGGGGTGAGCAGTGGCTGATTGACTTCCTTCAAAATCGTCAAGCCAGAGTCCGATTCAACAGAATACTGAGTAAGAACAGGAAAATAAGCAAAGCCCTCCCTCAGGGTTCCGACATGAAACCCTTCCTCTTCCTCTTTTATTGACGAACTGGCGAAATTTCTTCCGGATGATCTCACATTGCTCTACGACGGCGACGTCTCTATCCTCGCTTCATCACGCACGGCACGAGACGCCGAAAGTCTGACATAAAGAGCGGTGGACACCGTTGCTGACTGGAGTAGATGAAGGGAACTCCCGCAGAACTGCTCAAAGAGCGAGACTACATTCTTCACGATCGCAACATCTGACTCGGAATGGAAGCCATGCATCACGACTATTAAGTATGAGCCCTTTGCAAGACTCCTGGGAGTCACACTCGACTGCAGGCTCACATTCAGCAAACAGGTTGAGACTGTAAAGACTAAGGCCACACAGAAGCTGAGGATGCTCGGCGCTGTCGCCCACTCAAAAAGGGGATGCAGGAAAGACGACCCATGCAAGGTCTACCTCACCCATATACAGAGTGTCCTCAACTTTGCGAGCAGCAGCTGACAACCGTGGCGGAGTAAAACTCTGATAAGTAATCTGGAGGTGGGTCAAAACAGATCTGCGACTGATCACCACACACGCCCAGTCCTCACAGATCGAGGCACTTCGAGCTGAAGGGTCCCAAGCATTGAGTCTGCCATCAATACTAACTGCCTCCGATCAAGAGAGAAGGCACTGCGAATGAACAACAACAGCCCCCGACGAATTGAGCAACAGAACAAGTGCACAGACGCCTAAAGGGACACAGGGATTTCCGAAAAATGGCCGAAGACGCCAGGAAAAAAAACCCCCATCTGTTCAACTGCGAGAGGAGGTGCATTACTTATTTCAAAACAAGGCCGTGGAAACGGGGAATCAACCCAGACATCGCCCCCCCCCCCAACCTGTGCGGCATAAACGGAAGCGGTGACTCCAGTGTGAAGATCCGAAGCGCTGCTCTTCGTCGAGCACGAGAGTTTGGCACACAGTGCAATATCTTAAACTGACGGCTCAGCGAGAGCAGGAACAACGGATGGTGGCGCTGGGGTCGTCATCACAACGGAGGATCCGTCCAACCCGACCGTTGCCGAGACACTGAGGGAGAAAGGCGCTCTATACGCTAGCTCTTTCGAGGAAGAGACGAGAGCCTTGGAAATGGCTATTGACTGGATCGACAAACAGTGTGATGCATCCAACTCGGTCGCTATCTTCACCGACAGTCAAACGTTGAGCATGGCACTAGTGGGAACATCACCATCCCTCGACCAAATGCGACTACGCATAAATAATGCAATACCTCAACCCACGATTCAGTGGATCCCTGGTCACTGAGCTAGCCTCGGCAACGATCTCGCTGACAGTAATGCCAAACTGGCAACAGCGCTGCCGGGTCCAGGCCGCCAAATTACTTATGAAAGTGCGTGCCCCCAGATAAATCTCATTACAATAGACCCCCCAAAATGCCACACGCGGACGAAGGAAATATACAGGGCATTTTCCTTAAAACGAGAGGCTCTTATTATGTCCCGCAGTGACCAGTCATTATTGGCAAAAATCAGGACGGTCACTTCTGTGGGCTGCGGGCCTACAAAAATAGAATAGACAAAACATCGGACCCAAC